CAGAGAGAGAGAGAGAGAGAGAGAGAGAGAGAGAGAGAGAGAGAGTTTGTACCTGTACGCGGGGTATCGGTATAATGTTGTTCTATTTGTGTGTCTGTAGGCTCGTGCATAGCTGTGTAGGAAGGCGTGCGTTCACTAGACCTTTTTTGGTCGTATTCCGCATGACTATGTACATTTACGTGCAAGCACACATATCTTGGTCAACAATTAGTGTCCAAGCGCACAACTGTGTGAACGCATTTGAGCCGTGAGGAAGGTCAGCCATGTCCAAACTCCACAACTAGCCATCATTCAAGGAAGTCTCCATTGGCACTTGGCGTCACTACACCCTCTCCACAGTTCAAGCCGTTCTGGGCTGGTTTATAATGTATCGCAAAGGTTGTGAAACCCTAAACGCCTCCATAGACACGACTGGGGCCATTTCGGAGGACGGTTGCTGCCTGTCGGGACCAAACCTGGGTTGGGAAGAATACATCATTCGAGCCCAACAAACGGAGACATTCGATAAAAATAACTACCCTACTTCCCACCTGGGAATCAAAACCATGTCTTTTGCACATGATGGCAAAGAGCCTAACCACCCAATCACACACTCCTGTGAATTGGTCAAAACCAGAGCCCGCCAATCTGGCCGGCACCGCCCCCACACGTGGGCAGCTCGGTACAGTCGGAGGACGCACGGTGTCACCCAAGAAGTGTGACGAGAGTCATGGAAAGCCCCGCTGGGGAATGTACCCGTACACAACGTAGGAGTGCGACACGAACTTCAGCCTCCACATTGAACGTGACACAAGTGGAGGCTGACTATAAACACGCCACCTACAGCTAAACGTTAGCCTCCATATTAAATAAACGTGACAGAAGCAGAGGCTGGCTATAACAAGTTTAACACCTGCTGGACGCCTAAACGCTGGGAGTAAATAATTGATAAGACTGGAAGCGAGTATCACTTTTCCCAAGGCGACGATCAACGACCGTTGCTGAGCCGCGTGACTTGGGCTCGTTGGCAGTACTCAAGCTGTGCACATGGAGCATTCGACGTCGTGGAGAATAATTAATTCATGACCCGACGGTACCAGAAGCTTCCAAGAAATGACAAATGAGATTTGTCTAAACTGGAACTCTGGTCAAAAGCTGGCATGGGTGGACATAAGGCAAGTACACAGTTGAGCTTGTAGGTGACGCGTTTAATCATCACAGTTGATGAACGTTCACTATATATCATCAGCGGCGTCAGTTGGCTACGGAATAGAACAAAAAATCCAGGACTTTTGAGACACATTGAGACGCACGTGCGGTGACCGTAGAACACATTGAGACAAGTTTGTTGTTTTATAACACACCGAGCCAAGACTGTCGTTTATATAACGCATTGAGTGAAGACCTTTGTTTATATTTTTTATAAAAAATTCAGACAAGTGTTGTTTATATAACACATAGAGGCAAGACTATTTTTTTAAAAATATAACGTGCAACAGT